CCCCAGCCACTCTCGGCCTCTGGGCAGCATGGGAAGGCGGAAAGGCGGCTCCGCCGGCTAGAGAGGTGGTGCTGGCAGCCAGGGGAAGGAAGGCCCATTCTTGCACAAATCTTCGTGCATCGGGCCTCTAGTACAAAATAATATTGAATGTGAACTGTAATTGAAAAGTAAAATGTGAAAGAAACTGGTTATGTGACCACTCTAATTTTAGCATGCAGTTGTGGAGGTAACTGGAGAGAATGGGCAGATGGGAGGTGAAGGCAGCGGAGGCGACAGCAGGAGCTCACCTAGTCCTCCCGGGCCCGCCAGGAGGAACTCCTGCCTCCCTATCCGCTTGACGATGGGGCGCTTCTCCTCGCTGCAGTAAGGAAACAAGTCCTGGGCGGCACCCGTGCTGTAGTTCAGGATGATGTACTGCGTGGTCAGAGCCAGGCACAGGAAGTGGCCGTCCACTGCCACCGCCAGGGGCTGCTCCGGCGTGGACACCTCCCTGACAATCTGGACCCGGTCTTCGTACACCATGAACACCTGGATGGTTCTGCGTTTCACGGAGATGATGCAGACCTCCACACAAAACGGGTCCCCACTCACGGGGTTCTCGTTCAAGGCCAACGCCACGGCCCCCTTGATGCGGGCCCCCGAGGGGACAGGCTCCAGGCTCAGCATGTGGACCAGAGTGATGGAGTAGTCACAGAGCACCAGCAGTCTGTGCAGGGCCGAGGCGGCTCGCAGCTCACACACTGGCTTCCGGAGGCCCAGGTGTCTGTGCAGCTGCTTGGTGGCCGTGAACGTGGCCGTGCCGGCAGGCAGGCTCTGCTCCTCCAGCAGGAAGTGGTAGATGGAGCAGTCGTTGGTGCCCACGTAGAGGTTCTTGCCGCAGCACTCCACGCACTCGATGTTGACGCGCTCCTTGTCGCCCATCAGCAGCTCCCGCTCCACAGCAGAGACCAGCGTGAAGGCCTTGGTGCTCATCATGCCCGCTGCTGGTCTGCAGGAAGAGGAAAGGAAAACGGTGTTTACCTCACGAGAAGTGAGCAGAGCCATTTCAGGTCACAATAAACATACACTGACCCCTCAGTTACAACTTCAGGGAAGGGAAAGCATTCAACACTGTTAAAAACAGTGAAGGCAAAAGGTTTCCCACTTGCCTCCTCCCCCCAGACCAACGGGAGAGGCCAGCAGAAGAGTCAGCGCTCATCCAAAAGGGGGGAGGGGAGTGCGGTCCATGTGGGCTTCCTCGCTCTGTATAGGAGACACACCTGTAGGCAGAAGACAAGCACACATATCCCCACAGACAACATAAAACTGTGGAACTGTGTGGAAAAGGCAGAAACGACCCTTGCGATCTTGCCCTGAGTTCTGTATGTAGTGACTGGTGGGACACACTACATGGTGTTGCTAAACCCTGCCCCGGGACCCTGTTGGGAACACTGGGCAGGAGCCACACTCGCTTCCTAGGAGGGTTCTTCCCTATGAGGGTGCACGTGGCCCAGCACCACAGCTGGCCCCAGAGTAAGTGTGTCCTTGTGGAGGAAAGACGGGCACATCTCCGCGTCTCTTGGGAGGGCTTGCGAGGTCACGGGCCTGGCAGGTAATGGCCACTCCCACTGAGGACAGGCTGCCCTCGCTCACCTGGCTTCCTCTTCTCCCTCTGAAGGGCTGGTGTTTCCGCTGCACAAAGACAGGGGCAACGAAAGCGGCAACATGGCCTTTCCCTAATCTCAGTCCCTGCTACCCTCACGCAGGAGAGGGAGCCAAGCTCTGGAAACTGCAGGGGACTGAGCGGGAGGCTTCGAGAACTGTCTGCCACTTCAAGCTGCCCCCAAAGCGGGTGCCTCCTGAGAAACTAAATTCCTTAACCACCTTGCAAAGGCTGCACGAGACCTTGGAAATGTTCAAGGAAGATGTATGCATCAGGGAAGGGCAGGAATCAACTCAAAGATTTTAGAATTCTACAATTTCTTATCCCTCTGTCCACTGGAGCGGTGACAGCTACACACAGGGAAACTCTGGTTCCCCTCTGTGTGTCCCAGAATGCCCAGGGCTGGGATGAGGTTTCCACTGGCACCAGTTCCTCCCTATCCCTACCTGTCGCTTCGTAGCGACATGACCTTGGGAAGCTCACTTGGCTTCTACCTGCCTCAGGGCCCTCATCTGTGAGTGAGAGTAATGATGGCGTCTACTTCATATGGTTCTTTTGAGAAGGCTAAAAAGGGCTAATTCCAATGTAACCCTGATATTTGGGGGGCTAGCAATTGGAATCCAAACCAGCAAGCTCACTGTACATTCTTGATAACTTATGATTAAGTCACTACCTCCTTCCCAGATACTGGTCTTGCAGAACCTGTTACAGAGGCCATAAAACTGTGAACAGTGCACTGTCCCAGAGGGAGGGTTATTAACGCTGGCGCCAGGCCCAACCATCAGATATGGCCTGGAGACCCCCAACACCTGGGGGCCTTCTTGCAAGGCCCGAGAAAAGGACCGGAAGCATAATCCATATTTGCGGGACAAAGACCACAGGGAGATATAAAAAGAAGCCCCCGGCATGTTTCTTCACTCAGATTTGGAAAGTTATTCCCCGAGTCCGCAGGCGTAGTAAACAGTGTCCCTCCTTTTCTTTAAAGCGTCCCTTGGCTTTTCTTTGGTCTTCTGCAACACTTTGAGGATTAGCCAACCCCCGTGCGCACTCACTGAAAGTTCGGGTGGGTCTCTTGGCCCCCAGCGTACTCTACTTTTAACTCCACGCTGGGCTCCAAGGGACGGAGCGGTGCTGTCCACGGCCCTGAGCTGGCGACCTGTGTCCCCCTGACTGACAGATAGAATGTAGTCCTTGCATTTACTGCGCTCCTCCGCACAGCGCCATGGGAAAGACGCTCAGAGGCCTCAGAGAGAAGGAATCGCGTCCATCTATCCATCTGGGCTGCACAACCCCCAGGGTCCCCGGGAAAGCCTAGGGCAGGGGAAGAGGGCTTTTAATCTGACAAGTTTCACACACCACCGTCTATGTGCCATGACCAAGCAGAATCACCAAAATCCACCCTAGACACGACTGTTTCCATTTAAATCCTAATGAATTAAACACTAATACTGAAGTGTAAGCTTTGAAAGACCCGAAGTCTGTGAAAGCAAAGTAACAGAACGGTTCTTCCTTCAGTGATGGGCAAAGAGGGCTGTCTTCTCCGAGGGCAGGGCAGCCACTCCTCTGCTGGGACATGAAATCGGTGGCTGGCTTCGCAGCAGGAACAGAGAAACAAGCTTCAGGCACGCAGACTCCCACTCGCTATTTAACTTCTTTAAGTATATCGCCCATAATTCTAGTCTCTACCTTTACCTAGCATGAGAGGTAAACAAAAGATGTTTGCCGTAAAGGATACAGCTTGGCCCTTGACCAACGTGGGATTTGGGGGGCCCACTCCCCACGCAGTTGAAAACCCACATAGAAATTAAACTGCCCTCTGCACATGCGGATTCCCAGCTGCCAGCTGGTCCTTGAACAACACAGGTTTGAACTGCACAGGTCCAGTGAACTGAGTGGGTCGCCTGAAAAAAAATCCGCGTATCAGTGGACCTGCACAGTTCAACCCCGCCTTGCTCAAGGGCCAAATGCATATGGAAAACAATCAAACACCTCATATTTAGCCTAAATACTGGGGTGGACAGCAAAGGAAAGAAGGAGGAGAGAGTTGTTAAAAAAAAAGCTTCAGTTTATCAAAAAATCATAATTCTATAATGTTTAAAAAGACATGCAATATTGTTTCATTATCTGGTATTCAGTGACTCAAGTCTTGCTAAAAATAAGTGTCCTGCTATAGGCCTTTAAATAAGGGACCTGCTTTAATAATTAAATGGTAATTTGTAAAAAGCAGAATGCTGTCAATAACACAGTAGAGTAAGATGTTCCTTTTAAAAACACCAATTAGCCATCCGTCAGCAAATAAAAGCTCCCCTGTGGGTGTTGTGGGGACTTGGGGGTGGGGGTGGGGCTCACCTACCCAGACATGCAGTGACAGGCAGACAAAACTCGGTACGGGCTGTGGAACCAGTGGACCCACAGGCCTGCCCAGACCCCTCTCCCACGGCTGGAATGTAAACCTAGGGAATGCCAATGCTGACCTGGGCAGACATACAGACGAGAGAGAGAATTTGCACAGGTCCTGACGTCCTGCAGGGAGAGTCCAGTATACTACTAGAGCAGCGGTTCCCAAAGTGGGGCACACGCCCCACAGAGGGGCAATTTGATTTTGAAGGGAAGCACTTCGAGAATGAGTTATTAACAGTGAATTTTTTGCATTTCTTATGGTTCTAGGGGCCTCATATATAGTATATGAATATATACTGTGACATATTTATGCATTTTAGTTCTCTATTATGTTTTGAAACTTTATTTGCTATTTTTTCATATGATTTCATATTATTATTATTATTTAACAATTTCTTAGTGATCTCTTCCTCAGTACTTCAACTGTCCTTTTGTTCTTTTATTTTTCTCTTTCATGGATGCCATGTTCTTTGGAAGCTTGTTTAGACCAAGTTAATGGCCTTTTAGGCTTCCTCCACGTGAAAAGATGTTCACTTTTGTAATAAGAATTGCATGTCGGATGCCATGTTCTTTGGAAGCTTGTTTAGAGCAAGTTAATGCCTTTTAGGCTTCCTTCACGTGAATAGGAGTTCACTTTTTGAATAATAAGAATTATATGTCACAGGGGGCATCAGGATTTTAGAGATGCTTTGGTGGGGCATGGCCAAAAACAGGTTGGGAACCACTGCAGTAGAGCAAAAAAAAAACAAAACAGAGCTTGGTCACAGCAGAGGCAGCGGTAAGGGCAACTTCCCAGCACGCACCACCTAGGGAAACACTGCCCAGGCGCTGATCTCCCAGGCTGTGGCCACCTCTCAGGTGCTGATCTCCAAGCTGTGGCCACCTCTCCCGGCTGTAGCCACCTCTCCCAGGCTGTGGCCACCTCTCCCGGCTGTAGCCACCTCTCCCAGCTGTAGCCACCTCTCCCGGCTGTGGCCACCTCTCCCGGCTGTGGCCACCTCTCCCGGCTGTAGCCACCTCTCCCGGCTGTGGCCACTTCTCCCGTGGAGGAGAGGAAGGCGTGAGTGAGTGCCTGGCTACCCAGCTGTGCAGGAAGAGGCTAGAGCCGCCCAGCAGGACCTCCATGGCTGGGAGGACGAAGGGCTGGGAAAGAGGCAGATGAGAATTTCAAAGGGAATGAAAGGAATCAGATGCAGCAGGAAGGAAGTCCACCCGCCAGCCTCTGGGCGTATCACACCCAGGGATCTCCCACTGGGTCTGCAGGCACCCCCACCGCCTGAGCACTAAACCCACACATCCCCTCCCTCTGTGCCAGCTCCTTGTGTGTGCTTCTGTGTGCAGCACGAGAGAGAATTCTGGAAGACAGGGAGCCCACTCAGAAAATGGGCAAGGGAGAAACCACATACTTGAGCTATACCACCACCTTCTGGAAAACAAGAGGTTTCCAGCGAGTTGTAAGAACCAGAGAAGCCATAAAAGCTTAAGGATTCAGTCACAAGAGGGAGCATGAAGAATGCAGGAGGTGCACCCATAGAGAGGGAGAAAATCCAGATAATATAACACCATCAAACACAACACCCCATAGGAGCTAACTAGCAAAGACTTAGGAGGTGTCTGCTGCTTCAAATGTGAAAACAGCAATGAAAAATTGCAAGGAACACGAAAAACCAAGAAATCATGTCATTGCAAAAAGAAAACAATTCTCCACTGAGTTCGAAGGCATAGAATTTGTGACCTAGCTGAAAAAGAATTCAAAATTGCTGTCTTGACAAAGCTCAATGAGCTACAAGAAAACTCAGAAAGTCAATTCAGCAAATTTTCAAAAAATATATACATGATCAAAATGAGACTTTTAACCAAAGAGATAGAAATCACAGAAATTCTGGAGTTCAAGAACTCAGAGTGAGATGAAAAACGCAATAGAGGGCATCTGCAGAGCAAATGGA